GGAGCCCGGTCCGGGCATGGGAGGCCACGGCGGGGCAAGCCTATGCTAAGGCAGACGACAGCCCATACAGAAGACACCGGCCAGACTACGACCTACAGCATCCAAACATGAACTCGCTCCTAAAAACGATGCGGTTGGACGTGCCTCGGTTTAATGGAACTAATGTGGAAAACTGGATATATAAGATTGAGAAGTTCTTCTCCTTGCACCGCATCGACCCAGACCTGCGACTTGCCGTTGTTATGCTAAGGCAGACGACAGCCCATACAGAAGACACCGGCCAGACTACGACCTACAGCATCCAAACATGAACTCGCTCCTAAAAACGATGCGGTTGGACGTGCCTCGGTTTAATGGAACTAATGTGGAAAACTGGATATATAAGATTGAGAAGTTCTTCTCCTTGCACCGCATCGACCCAGACCTGCGACTTGCCGTTGTTGCATTCCATTTGGACAGAAAGCCAGCGACATGGTATCAGTGGATGGAGAAGGGAGGTGGATTAACCAGTTGGGGTTATTTCCTATCCGACCTGAGGAAGAGGTTTGGCGCGTCTATCTACGATGATCCATTGGGGCGGATCTCCAAATTGGTCCAAACCAGTACCGTAACGAAGTTCAGGGCTGAATTCAAAGAACTGATGACCCACATCACAGGGGTGACTGAGCACATGTTCATGAACTTTTTCTTATGGGGATTGAAGATGGAAATTCGCCGGGAACTATTGATGCAACCGCCGCAGAGCTTAGCGGAAGCCATGGCCAAGGCTTAGCTCTATGAAGAGCGAAATGACGACTTGTTCCAGCGACAACGTCGAGAAGGGTACAGACACTATGAGGGCCAATCCAGGACCCCCACAACTGGACACGCGAGAATCAGAGGCAACACGACAATCACGAGCCCAGGAGCTCCGCTGTCTCGCGGAGACCAGACACCCCTGGGAAGCTTAAAGTTGCCACTGATGCGACTCTCGCCGGCTAAGATTCGAGAAAAATGGGAAAAGGGCCTCTGCTTCAGTTGCGATGAGAAGTACAACATTAATCATCGCTGCAAGAACAGGGTGCTGCTCATGTGCGGGGAGGACGAAACGGAGGAGAGCCAGGAGGAGGCAGCGCCTGTCTTGGATGAGGTTTCCACCGAAGAGGAAATGGAGGTAAGTCTAAATACCCTCACAAATTCAGTAAATCCTAGAATTTTTAGGATTAGGGCCAAACATGGAGTCGAATCTATGGAAATTCTCATTGACACAGGAAGTAACAATAATTTTATCCAAGAAGCTCTGGTAACTAGGCTAGGATTACCAGTAGAGGCATCCAAAAGATTCAAAGTCTATATGGGAAACGGGCAGTATTTGACTTGCGATAAGAAATGTGCAGGCGTAGAGTTAGAGTTGCAAGGGACTAATTTTACAGTGGACTTGTTTGTATTGCCCATCTGGAGATTAGATGTTGTC